AGTTGCCCATCAGTGTTCTTCACAAGGAAGCCTGCCACTACTCCCATTTCTAACTCTGACTCCAGTGATGTCAATGATCCTCTGCCTATTATCGGCAGTGACGCTGGCATCATGCTCATCATGCCATGCAGTTACACTCCATATAATAACCTCCATTCAACTGTCATCAGTAACTGCATTTCTAACTATCATCACCATCAGTATCGTCATTGTCATCATCATCATCACAAGTCATCAGAGTTCATCTGCCAAACCTTACGAGTGGTGAGCGTTTTGTTTGTTCATCGTTTGTTATTAAATCATAACATGTATCATGTATGTATATACATGTATGTATTTTACAATGTTTTCATGTGTTTTATGATTGTTCATGGTTCAATAGGTTAAGGAAGCAGTATTGTTAGGCTAAGTAAATGCTATTACGTATTATATTTCCTTACTATATATTTGTGCACCAAACATTTACGAATTTTCAACATTCGCGAGGTTCTTGATTCCCTAACCCTCACGAATGTGGTGGACAACCTGTACTTTGGTTTTTGTCCATTTCGGATTTTGGCAGACCTTCTGGAATGGATTAAGGACAAAAACCGGGGTATTGCTGTAATTATGTACATATTTGTGCTCTGCATACAAAGGGGCTTTTGGCATGTACACCCAACTATTATATTCCTCTGTACAACCATGTAATTTGTCAAAATAAAAATCTTAATCTTAATGACTGAGCTTAATAGAGCTGCTATGTACAATTTTGTTATATATAATGATCAAATTATGTACATTTTGAAAATAAAATTTGTTTATCATATTTGTTTTGAAACCTGAGTGGGGTTTACATCCACTCTGTCATTGTTTAACTTCTTCCATTTTCCAACCATGTTCTTTTTTTTTATTGACACATTGACTGTTTTCCACCAAGGCAGGGTGACCTGAAAAAGAAAACCTTTCATCATCATTCACTCCATCACTGTCTTGCCAGAGGTGTGCTTACATACAGTTATAAAACTGCAACATTAACACCCCTCCTTTAGAGTGCCTGCACTGTATTTCCCATCTCCGGGAATCAAGTTTGGCCTGCTAGTTTCCCTAAATCCCTTCATAAGTGTTACCTTGCTTACATTCCAGCAGCATGTCAAATCCTAAAAACCATTTGTTTTCATTTGCTCCTATCTAACACTCTCATGCATGGTTACTGGAAGTCCAAGCCCCACACAAAACCTCATTTACCTCCTTCCTACAACCCTTCCTAGGCTGACCCCTACCCTGCCTTCCCTCCACTACAGATTTTTTTTTTTTTTTTTTTTTTTATTATCACACTGGCCGATTTCCACCAAGGCAGGGTGGCCCGAAAAAGAAAACCTTTCATCATCATTCACTCCATCACTGTCTTGCCAGAGGTGTGCTTACATACAGTTATAAAACTGCAACATTAACACCCCTCCTTCAGAGTGCAGGCACTGTACTTCCCATCTCCAGGACTCAAGTCCGGCCTGCCGGTTTCCCTGAACCCCTTCATTAATGTTACTTTGCTCACACTCCAACAGCACGTCAAGTATTAAAAACCATTTGTCTCCATTCACTCCTATCAAACACGCTCACGCATGCCTGCTGGAAGTCCAAGCCCCTCGCATACAAAACCTCCTTTACCCCCTCTCTCCAACCTTTCCTAGGCCGACCCCTACCCCGCCTTCCTTCCACTACAGACTGATACACTCATGAAGTCATTCTGTTTCGCTCCATTCTCTCTACATGTCCGAACCACCTCAACAACCCTTCCTCAGCCCTCTGGACAACAGTTTTGGTAATCCCGCACCTCCTCCTAACTTCCAAACTACGAATTCTCTGCATTATATTCACACCACACATTGCCCTCAGACATGACATCTCCACTGCCTCCAGCCTTCTCCTCGCTGCAACATTCATCACCCATGCCTCACACCCATTTAAGAGCGTTGGTAAAACTATATTCTCATACATTCCCCTCTTTGCCTCCAAGGACAAAGTTCTTTGTCTCCACAGACTCCTAAGTGCACCACTCATCCTTTTCCCCTCATCAATTCTATGATTCACCTCATCTTTCATAGACCCATCCGCTGACACGTCCACTCCCAAATATCTGAATACATTCACCTCCTCCATACTCTCTCCCTCCAATCTGATATTCAATCTTTCATCACCTAATCTTTTTGTTATCCTCATAACCTTACTCTTTCCTGTATTCACCTTTAATTTTCTTCTTTTGCACATCCTACCAAATTCATCCACCAATCTCTGCAACTTCTCTTCAGAATCTCCCAAGAGCACAGTGTCATCAGCAAAGAGCAGCTGTGACAACTCCCACTTTGTGTGTGATTCTTTATCTTTTAACTCCACGCCTCTTGCCAAGACCCTTGCATTTACTTCTCTTACAACCCCATCTATTAATATATTAAACAACCACGGTGACATCACACATCCTTGTCTAAGGCCTACTTTTACTGGGAAAAAATTTCCCTCTTTCCTACATACTCTAACTTGAGCCTCACTATCCTCGTAAAAACTCTTCACTGCTTTCAGTAACCTACCTCCTACACCATACACTTGCAACATCTGCCACATTGCCCCCCCTATCCACCCTGTCATACGCCTTTTCCAAATCCATAAATGCCACAAAGACCTCTTTAGCCTTATCTAAATACTGTTCACTTATGTTTCACTGTAAACACCTGGTCCACACACCCCCTACCTTTCCTAAAGCCTCCTTGTTCATCTGCTATCCTATTCTCCATCTTACTCTTAATTCTTTCAATAATAACTCTACCATACACTTTACCAGGTATACTCAGCAGACTTATCCCCCTATAATTTTTGCACTCTCTTTTATCCCCTTTGCCTTTATACAAAGGAACTATGCATGCTCTCTGCCAATCCCTAGGTACCTTACCCTCTTCCATACATTTATTAAATAATTGCACCAACCACTCCAAAACTATACCCCACCTGCTTTTAACATTTCTATCTTTATCCCATCAATCCTGGCTGCCTTACCCCCTTTCATTTTACCTACTGCCTCACGAACTTCCCCCACACTCACAACTGGCTCTTCCTCACTCCTACAAGATGTTATTCCTCCTTGTCCTATACACGAAATCACAGCTTCCCTATCTTCATCAACATTTAACAATTCCTCAAAATATTCCCTCCATCTTCCCAATACCTCTAACTCTCCATTTAATAACTCTCCTCTCCTATTTTTAACTGACAAATCCATTTGTTCTCTAGGCTTTCTTAACTTGTTAATCTCACTCCAAAACTTTTTCTTATTTTCAACAAAATTTGTTGATAACATCTCACCCACTCTCTCATTTGCTCTCTTTTTACATTGCTTCACCACTCTCTTAACCTCTCTCTTTTTCTCCATATACTCTTCCCTCCTTGCATCACTTCTACTTTGTAAAAACTTCTCATATGCTAACTTTTTCTCCCTTACTACTCTCTTTACATCATCATTCCACCAATCGCTCCTCTTCCCTCCCGCACCCACTTTCCTGTAACCACAAACTTCTGCTGAACACTCTAACACTACATTTTTAAACCTACCCCATACCTCTTCGACCCCATTGCCTATGCTCTCATTAGCCCATCTATCCTCCAATAGCTGTTTATATCTTACCCTAACTGCCTCCTCTTTTAGTTTATAAACCTTCACCTCTCTCTTCCCTGATACTTCTATTCTCCTTGTATCCCATCTACCTTTTACTCTCAGTGTAGCTACAACTAGAAAGTGATCTGATATATCTGTGGCCCCTCTATAAACATGTACATCCTGAAGTCTACTCAACAGTCTTTTATCTACCAATACATAATCCAACAAACTACTGTCATTTCGTCCTACATCATATCTTGTATACTTATTTATCCTCTTTTTCTTAAAATATGTATTACCTATAACTAAACCCCTTTCTATACAAAGTTCAATCAAAGGGTTCCCATTATCATTTACACCTGGCACCCCAAACTTACCTACCACACCCTCTCTAAAAGTTTCTCCTACTTTAGCATTCAGGTCCCCTACCACAATTACTCTCTCACTTGGTTCAAATACTCCTATACATTCACTTAACATCTCCCAAAATCTCTCTCTCTCCTCTGCATTCCTCTCTTCTCCAGGTGCATACACGCTTATTTTGACCCACTTCTCGCATCCAACCTTTACTGTAATCCACATAATTCTTGAATTTACACATTCATATTCTCTTTTCTCCTTCCATAACTGATCATTCAACATTACTGCTACCCCTTCCTTTGCTCTAACTCTCTCAGATACTCCAGATTTAATCCCATTTATTTCCCCCCACTGAAACTCCCCTACCCCCTTCAGCTTTGTTTCACTTAGGGCCAGGACATCCAACTTCTTCTTATTCATAACATCAGCAATCATCTGTTTCTTGTCATCCGCACTACATCCACGCACATTTAAGCATCCCAGTTTTATAAAGTTTTTCTTCTTCTCTTTTTAGTAAATGTCTACAGGAGAAGGGGTTACTAGCCCATTGCTCCTGGCATTTTAGTCGCCTCATACGACACACATGGCTTACGGAGGAAAGATTCTTTTCCACTTCCCCATGGACAATAGAAGAAATAAAGAACAAGAGGTATTTAGAAAAAGGAGAAAAACCTAGATGTATGTATATATATATGCATGTGCGTGTCTGTGAAGTGTGACTAAAGTGTAAGTAGGAGTAGCAAGATATCCCTGTTATCTAGCGTGTTTATGAGACAGAAAAAGAAAACAGCAATCCTACCATCCTGCAAAACAGTTACAGGTTTCTGTAAAAACAGTTACAGGTTTCTGTAAAAACAGTTACAGGTTTCTAGTAAAAAGCTTATCACACTAAAAGCAGGTAAGTATTTTCATTTGTAACTGACATTAACAAGTTAACACTTTTCTGTGACCAGTAATATTTATGCCTTTTAATTTGCAATGTTTGTTTTACAGCTTCACTTTATCCTCCCAACAGATTCCCTACTGCTCAGTTGCTTTTGCTGCTCAAGACACCAAGGGCAGGTGGTCATTACAGAAGCCGCCACTCTTACCTGCAACCCACTCCGCTAATAATCAGTTTGATTGGAAAGGCCTCAGTTCATAACTCTCAGGTCTAACCAGAATTAAAAGATATTCCTGTTTTCAATAGACTAGTAAAACTGAAGCTTAGCATAGATTTAATGTCTGTGCCAGAAGCATTGATGCATAATAATAATAATAATAATAATAATAATCATAATCATCCTTATTCCTAGAAGTACATGATACAACTGATACAGCTCAACCTGACATCATTGGCATACTATACATATATAAAGCCCCTGGTTATGCAGAGCATTTCGGGGCAACTTGGGTTAATCTTTACCCCGATGATGTGACCTTCCACAGTTTGCTAACACCTAGGTACCTACTTACTGCTAGGTGAACAAGGACAGCAAGTGTCAGGAAATACAGTGGAACCTCTGCTTATGAGTTTAATCCATTCCATGACCTAGCTCGTAACTCGATCTGCTTGTATGCGTAGTCAGTTTTCCTCATTTAAATTAATTGCAATGCCATTAATCTGTTTCCAGCAGAATTCCTGCTCTCAGGAGGCAGGACAAAAATACTTCAATGTGATGCAAATATCAACTCTACAGCTTATTTATCTACCCCAATTCATCTAATATGACATAAACAATATAATTAACATAGAAACATATACTCTTGAATGAATAAAATAGGCCATAATATGGTGAGTGGTGGTGGCAGCATCCATTCCTTCTCCCACTGAGAATATCTTCCCATGCTTTTATTATAAGAGAAAATGGAGTGTTTGTGAAGCTAACTGCACTTGTTTCATAAATAATAAATATTGTATAAAAACAATATAGAATGTAAAGAAATAAAGTGGTTTTTATGTGTTCGTATGCTGGTGGAGGTGGAGAGTGGAAGATAGGCTACTTGCTACTAGCTCCTACTGCCACCACACACCTCGCTTGTTTATCTATGATTTCATGCTGTAATTCCATGGGCATCATCCTCTTTTTCTTGTCAGTACTGTCCTTTGCACTTACTTTCTTAGGACCCATGGTTAGAAAAAAGAAATTTGGCAATAATAACATGAGAAATGCTTCCACGGCAACATAAACACATTGCACGGCTCAGCTGATGTTGTGGCGTTGGCTGTGCTGCCTAGTGGAGATGTTCTGAAACTCGCTTATTAATATTGTTATTAATTTAGGGAACTGGATCTCAGATTCAATTTCCTAGATCAAGAGCCCCTCGCCAGCGTCAAGGAACCTCCTTTGAGGGGGAAGCTCGCAACCTAAATTTTGGGTCGTATCCAGGAGCAAAAAATTGACCGAGCGACGGCTCATATCCTGAAAAACTCGCTTGGTGGGGCACTCGTAAACAGAGGTTCCACTGTATACCTAATATTTCACCCATGCTGGGAATCAGTCATGGGCCCTCAGTGAGCAAGCTGAAGACACGGATATATAGGCTCACAGTGTATGTGGTCTATATATACAGTCTCTCCTCACTTAACAATGGGGTTCTGTTCCTAAGAGTAGGTCATTAAGCATATTGTGTAATAAAGTAAACCCCTTCCCTGATTAAATTGGTCATATGTGGTGTATAAATTTTGGTGATGAGCTTCAGAAATTAACATTATTATTATGATTATTATTGATGTCATTGTGGTTATTATTATTATTATTAACATTTATGTAACTGATTGGCATCCTTTCCAAGACATGATACTATGTACCCCCAAATGGCACTCCTTACTTTATATCGCTCTCTAATCTACCATCGTCTCACCTATGGTATTTGTGCTTGGGGGATCAACCATGGCCAGTCGCCTTAAACCTTTAATAACCCAATAAAAAGCTGTGGTGCAGATGATCACAAACTTCTATACCAGACAACACATCCCATCACTCTTCAAGATCTTAAACTTACTTAATATACAAAATATACACACACATTATTGTGCCTACTATATATACAGAACATTAAACTCCAGTATAAACCCTCCGACAGCTACAACAGAATACACAGGCATAACATGAGACACAAAACACTTTTTGACATCCCTTATGTCTGTCTCACACTATGCAAAAATGCAATGCACATAAAGGGCCCAAAGATCTGGAACTCTTTGCCTAAACAAACAGTAAGTCCCATGCCCACAAATCAATTTAGGACTTTACTGAAAAATCATCTCATCTCTCAATAATAACCATACCCACACCACAACTCTCCTAACATTTTATTACCCCTTATCTATTAAAGCATTATTACATACCTAAAAATGTGTGTTTGTATCATCAATTGTACTAGTAATTTTTTTTTAACACGTCGGCCATCTCCCACAAAGGCAAGGTGACCGAAAGAGAAAGAAAAAACTTCTATCATTAAACACGTTCACCATTACTCATACATAATCAGTCTTTGCAGAGACACTCAGATACAACAGTTTAGATGTCTCTCCAGACTGCCAATATCTCAAACCCCTCCATTAAAGTGCAGGCATTGTACTTCCCATTTTCAGCTGAATCCCTTTTCAAAATATTACCCTGCTTGCACTTCAATTTCACCTACATTAAACCATAAAGCTTATTAACTAAAATATTTGGCTACCTCATATTAATAATAGAGTAAAACATTGAATATTTGAAATTTACCACTCTACCTCTCTACACTTAAGTAGTCTTTAAGTACATATTAGGTGAAGTCTGCCAGAAATGGCCCAGCATGATAGTGGCTTTCTTTGTACCAATCAAATTATGAAATGTAAACATGCATTGCAACCTTTGCAAAGAAATAAACCTTTGTTTTGTTTGTTTACTGTAAAACATTTCCACCCTTTTCTCCTCTGCCACTGCAAACATGGTCAGAGTATACTTGATATATGTACAGGTCACCTAAAAATTATTTGCAAATATCCCCATTACTGTAAAAGTTGGAAATTAACTCAAGAAAGGCATTAGAAGTGTGGCCATTCTTGCATGTTGTTGATGTGTCATTGGTGGTTCGAGCGTATTTTCATTAGAATTTACGTTTAGCGGTAATATTGCGTATAATTTTTTTTTTTTATATTTGATTATTTTTCTAGTACAGTAGGGCCCTGTTTTTTGGTGTTTCACCTTATGGCATTCTGCAGATACGGCAATCTCAAATTATGACGAAAACTTTCTATATGGCAAGCGGTCTTTCAAATATGGCACACGCCACCCGGTTTATTTACACTCTCCATGATCACATCTCTCTATTATGTAATAATAATCACTCTTGGGCACATTAAATGTCTAATTTTACATCAATATAGACATTTTCATTAATTCATCTATGATATTTTCTTCAGAAATATATAAGGAACATGTTCCATAGCGTATAAACATGCTGCTTATATGCTATGGAGGTGTGGTTGCCAGGTGAAGGGAAAACATTACGTAATACTAATAATAATCACTCTTGGGAATATTAAATATCTTATTTTATGTTAATATAGACATTTTCATTAATCCCTATGATATTTTCTTCAAAATTATATAAGAAACATGTTACATAGCATATAAACATGTTATGTTTATATACTTTGGAGGTGTGGTAGCCAGGCGGAGGGAAAAATTACGTCACTCCCCTTAATACATAACGTTTTTTTTTGCAATTCTCGGCATGAATTATTCATTACTTGTCCCTTTGTTTATGATGGCATCTGAAGGTAGATGTTATAAATGATTAAACTCAGTGAACATGGTATGTCGATGGCAATAATATGGCTCTGGGCCGCATTAAATATTGTGTAGCTATGTAGGTGGGTGTAGGTATGTAGCCCAGGCAGACTACATACCTACATTATTATTATAACTGATATTTATACTTATGTGTACCTGTACCTAAGTAAACTTGCACACTGTGCTGGCATGCAGGTACATGTTAAAATCACTAAGAGTGTCTTATTAGTCTTGAAGATGCCATATTAATAATGATAATAATAATAATAATCACTCTGAGGAGCATTGAATGTCGTATAAAACGTTATAGATATTTTGCTTAATCTATCTAAATACACTCCACAGTAGAATAAATTAACATAAATATGAGATGTGGTAGCTAGGTGACCTGTAGGACTTGTGGTAGCCAGGTGACTTGTAGGACTTGTGGTAGCCAGGTGACTTGTAGGACTTGTGGTAGCCAGGCAACTTGTAGGACTTATGGTAGCCAGGAAACTTGTAGGACTTGTGGTAGCCAGGAAACTTGTAGGACTTGTGGTAGTCAGGCAACTTGTAGGACTTGTGGTAGCCAGGCAACTTGTAGGACTTGTGGTAGCCAGGCAACTTGTAGGACTTGTGGTAGCCAGGCAACTTGTAGTCCAACATCAGTGAAAATATGTACTCTATAATATTACTGGGGGTAACTAGAAAATTATTCCTTTCATATGCCTTCACTCAGGGTGTCATTTCTTCTAAAAATGGTGTTACATGAGATTGGGAGTGCTTCTCTTTATGTATTCTACTGTATCAACGTGGAGACAACTTGTACACAATGTAAAGTGATAAAAACCAGACTTGTTCACTTGGTTTGTTTACATTACATGTGAGTGGGGTAGGGAGGGCTGCCCATGCAGACTACCCATACTTCCAAAACCTGACTTCCTACAAATAAAACTCACCTCTCGCTTTACATTAAGACTACAAATATTTTAAGGTAACTAATGGGTGTACTGTGTGTGTATTTTATTTTTATTGTTTTTAATGCCTAGTTCTATTACTAACTTAATATATGATAGTGTAAACTTGTTACCTGGCATTTATATGCATATGTAAGTGGAAAAAATGGCGTTCTGCTTTCTGGCGATGTCTGCTTTCCGGCAGTAGCCTGGTACCTAACCTGCCGTATAAATGGGGCCCTACTGTATTAGTATTCATTGTATTAATTATCGTGAGTAGAAATAAGGCTTATAGAGATGAGTTGAGCTCCTTTTGTAGAAATTTGTAAAGAGTTTGTGTACAGGGTTTTGAGTTTGTTCAAATGGTGGGGGGGACACAATGGCGAGATCCTGTAAATAAGTCCCACTCTAACCCATTTGTCAGCTTAAGCAATCTTTTCCAACTACTTGTATTGATTAATCTGCTGCTAACAAGTGAGTTCATAACCTGTGTTAATGTGGGTATAAGTATAGGCGCTCAAGTGTTGACAAAATGCAGTCTTTTTGTGCTGTAGCCACTGGGGGAGACAGCCTCCTGCTGGCATTTGTCATACTACCCTAGGGAAGGGCTAGTAAATGTGTGTACCATGTAACTGACTTTATTATAGCCTAAATAATCTTGTACTTTGTATGATTAGAGTCAGCTGTAAAATTAGTGATAATTTAAGGTGCAAAATGATTGTTTATATAATCCATGCCATTACTTGTTCCCATCTCTATGCTAGCCTATATTAAACTAACTCTTTTTTAAATCTGCCTTCCTTTCAGTACTTTACTAGATTTCTGTTGTTAGTTATCAGAGATGTGGAGTAAGACTATTTCTCTGGTAATTTTTTTCTTAGTCTACCCTAATACTCTTCTTATTTCTGACCTAAAACTTTTCTAACCTATCTTATATACTAATACTATTTTATTAGGTATCTACCACTTATGCTTGCTATGTTTTTCTGTAATTTGTCTTTTACCTGCAACCTAACCAAGCTTGTACATATTTTTGCTATCTTATACAACTGTTTGTTTTTATTTTCTTACCTCTTATCTCATTTGTGCTAGCCTATGTTTCAGGGTTTGTTTTATGTATTTGTATAATTTATATATCTATGATTTATGCTTAAATATGTTCATTCTTTTCTGTCTGATAGGTGTGTTAAGTTTTATTGTGTGTCTACATTATCTCAACTAGATCTCTTACTGCTTTTGGTGTTAGTATCATAGTCTTTAATGTTTATAAGTGAATTATTTTTGATATGTCATTTTTTATTATTTTTGATAAATGTTTGGTAGCGTTTTGTGAATCATGACCCTCCTTAACTTTTGTAAGATCTTTTTGTTTTTTTTTTTAGTAATAGTATTGACTTGTGAGTTTGTGACTAAAGCAGATAACACTATTTTAAGTTTAGCAGCGACCAGGCACCCCTGAAAAGATGCCTAAGAGTTAGTAGCCTCAAGCAACCCAGGCACACTGAGAAAAGGCCATAGAATGGCAAGAGATCTTGGAAACTCTTGGCCTGGAGGATCAGACTGAGCTTGTAATCTGGGAACCTGGAGATCTCAGTGGTAGACTGAAGAAGGGCATGTATGAGCAAACTGGAGCAAGGGAAGTAACTACCAGAGACTGTATGTTAACCCCTTGACTGTCTAAACCCCAAATCCTGAGGTGTCTCCCGGTGTCGAAATTTAAAAAAAAAAAAAAAAATGAAATGATGGAGAATCTTTTCCCGATAGTAATGACACCAAAAGAACGAAATTTGATGAAAAACTGATGGAATTACACTCTTGCGAAGTTAGCGACCTCGGCGATATTTACAAATCGGCGATTTCGCCCACTTTGAGCCCTATTTTCTGTTAATTCCATTGTTCCAGTCGACCAAACTCGTAGCTATTTCTTTAGAACTCCATTTTTTCTATCGATTGAGTACAAGAAACTGCCCATTTACCGATTTCAGCTACCCAATAACACGGTCAGAAATTTGCAATTTGGCCAATTTCATTAAAATTAAAAAATATGACAATTTCAAAATAGGGTTCAGAATGAACAATGCAGACATTCCTGGCTCTAAAATAACATTTTCTTTGTTCATCAGTCACATCTCCAGGCCCCTATGATATTATTACTCTTGCTTTCTATTTTGAATTTTTATCAAACAAAAAATAGATTTACTGTTATGCAGACTACTGCAGTATTGTAATAATTGTATAAATAATGTCAACCCATTCATGACTGCATATTAGAATGGCTAGTTGGGCATTTATTGGACAATGGCATCATTTGTTTACTTTTGAACATAGGGCAAAAATCAAACATTTCCCCTACTTTGAGCTCCATTTCAAGGCTCTTTTCATAGTAAAACCAATCAAAATCACTCTATTACGATAATATGTTTTCCAATCTATCAAATGAGACCAAGAAAATGAAAATACAACCATAAATACTAAATGAAAATAGACCGCAAAGTCGGCATTTTAATTGAAAAAAACGGTCGGAGTTTGTTTTCTCATTATGCACTGCATGCTGCAGGATTTTCTTTATATGGTGCACACTGACCACACAGACCCATTCTCTCACATGTGGGCCTACCAGCTTTCTCCTGCTTGATTTGAAGCTGCTAGAATTTATGAGTACAGTGTACCCCCGTCTTACGATATTAATCCGTTCCTGAGAGCTCATCGTATGCCGAAATTATCATAAGGCGAATTAATTTTCCCCATAAGAAATAATGGAAATCAAATTAATCGTGCAAGACACCTCAAAGTATGAAAAAAAAAAATTTTTTTTACCACATGAAATATTAATTTTAATACTCACAAACTGAAGACATGCACAGTTAATACTCTACTAAGAATAGAATACATGACACTTACCTTTATTGAAGATCTGGTGATGATTGATGGGATGGGAGGAGGGGAGAGTGTGGAAGTTGTTATTGTTTAGAAGGGGAATCCCCTTCCATTAGGGCTTGAGGTATCAAGCCCTTTTCTGGGGTTACTTCCCTTCTTCTTTTAATGCCACTAGGACCAGCTTGAGAGTCACTGGACCTCTGTCGCACAACCTATCTGTCCATAGAGCTCTGTACCCTCTCGTTCCTTTATGATTTGTCTAAAGTGGTTCACAACATTGCCATTGTGATAGTCACCAGCACGGCTTGCAATAGCTGTGTGAGGGTGATTTTCATCCATAAAGGTTTGCATTTCAAGCCACTTTGCACACATTTCTTTAATCCCTTTTTTCAATTCCATACTAATTCTCACCCTTTTTACCACAGGGATGGTACTAGAAGCTTTCTTGGGGTCCATGGTGACTTATTTTGCAGTTACAAGCACTAAAAACACTGGGATAATGTGAAATGTACCGAATGTATGCGTAGATGCGACCGCACTGGCTGGCTTGTAAACACTGGCGCTGAGGCCACACTTGGTACGCGTCCTGGACGAATCACGTAAGGCGAGTTTTTTAGCCTGAGGCAAGGAAAAATTTTTGCGTTAAAATGTATCGTATGGCGGATTTAATGTAACGCAATGCCATCGTAATGCGGGGGTCCACTGTTTATATACGTCAAGCACGGTGGCTCATAAGACGTATATATACGACCGAAACAGTCAAAGGGTTAAGGCAGGGAGAAACTTGGAAACTCTGTGGAGTGGTAGTGCTAGTATGTAGATTATTTTAATATGGTTTTAGTGGATATTTTTAAAATTTTCTCTTCTGTGCTGATGTCTGAATTTCAGGTTCTCCTGTAATGTATGTATGCTTATTAAATTGTAAGTTGTTTTATCTGGATATTTTTTATTTGCCCCTTTGAGCCATGTATGTAGGGTTCGTTGGTCAGAGTTTAAATTAAAAAGTAGATCGAGTTGTATTTTATTTCTTCTGGAGAGTCAAGCCCTGATTAGGTTCCTACTGCTCAATTTTCAGGCCAAGCTACCCTAAAAGCCAGTGCTTATCAGGGCCAATACCATGTTATACCTATCCTGTATTTGTATTTCCCTTTGGGTTTTTTTCCTGCTCTAACCCAGATTACATATCTGTGCCTTCTAGGACTACCTACTCTTAGTTCTTCCACTGTTAAAAGAGCAAGTGGTGGCAGCATATATACTCTCAAATCCTAGTTTTTTTTTTTTCCCCCTTTTTATTTGTTACCTGTATTCTTAAACTTTTGTCCACTCTGAGTCTCTGCTTGAGGGAAAACACAGTACGGCATCGTCTGGTGCTCTGTCAATCCTAGGGCAGAACTAGGGGAGTAGCTGCATTTGAACTGTACTGAAAGTGGGTTTGTGTCAACCATCTTTGTATATTTTTTTAACGTCACCTTTGTACCATTTACAATAGACCCCAGTTTTTGTAATTAATCCATTCCAGAAGGTTGCTCAAAATTGGAAATGCTCAAAAACCGAAGTAATATTTCCCATAAGAAATAATGTAAATCAAATTAATCTGCTCCAGACACCCAAAAATATTCACAAAAAATTAATTTTTTAAAGAATATCTATAGTTTTACATAAAGACCTCTTTGAGGGGGGCTCCGTGGCATGGTGAAGAGGCTCTTGGTCTGAGGAATTAGATCTGTCGGTCTCCTTCCTCAGACAAATCCTTATTACCCCCCAATCCCCTCTTCCCTATCCCATCCTCCCCATCCTCCCCTTTTTCCTTTCCTCCTCCTCCTCCCCACCCCTCCCTTTTGCCCTTCCTCTTTTTAGCCTTTGGGATTTTTCCCACAGGCGCACTAGTTCCTAGGTAGGGGAAAGGGTACCGGGGTCCATCCGATTCAGTTGAGGTTCTTGGCGGTGGCATAGTTTGCCCTGGAATTTGGATCGCCTGGGGATGTCCTGATCCCTCTCCGGTATCCCGGAGGGTGGCTTTGGGTGTCTTTCAGGTGACGGGTGTATCTCTGGAAGCCACCTTTCGGATTCCGGGGATGGTGGCCGAGGGAGGTATGCTTTGTGGTGGATATCCGGCCACCCTCTCTTTTGTCCACCGAGGTAGCTTGGCAGATGTGAGGTTGCTATCCTGGATTGCTGGTTTACTGGCATGAAGGGTAGGGTATGGCACGGGTTCTACGCTGTATCTGTGCTACTTGTGGTGCTGAGGTCCTCTTGGGCACGGAGGGAGATTTCTGGCCCTTTCATTCCTCCTAGGAACTATCCCTCCCTGTTCCCCCCTTCTTTTTATTCTTTTTTTTTATTTTTATTTTCTTCTTTCTTTTTATTCTTAAAAACAAAAAGAAAGAAGCAACCTAACCATGGAGTGCTCAATCCATGACCCCGCTACCCTCGGACCCCTTCTTGTTACCGCACCCCGTTCTGACCTCGCCTCGTCTTTTGACCACTCTTCGGACACTCCTAAGGCCCCTGTACCTCTCGCTGGCGCTGTTTCATCACCCGCTTCAGGTGCTGGGGTTTCGACTGACTCATTCGATTTGTCTGACTTCTGCTCTCCTTTGACTATGCTTCCAGCCTCTCCCTCTACGGTGCAGCAATTTTTTAATTGCCAGCCCGTCCCACGTCGGACCAACTCTGGTCCCACTTCTAAATGCCAATGACAATCTCCTGATGATGTTACTTCTTTACCTTCCCATTCTACTTGGAAAAGACCGACACGTCATGCACTCCCTCTCCACACTCAGTTTCAGACCACACAATGGACTAAATTCTTTACTTTAAGACCGACTTCTTCTACTGCCTATCTTTCCGACCATAGTATTGGCAAAGCGCTCCTACGCCATGTTGGTAGAGATATTTCCTCTCATGCTCTTAAGAGTGGTACGTGCATCATCACAGTCCAGAATGCTACCCAAGCTCATGATCTTTCTCTTTCACATATCGATACTATTCCTATCACTATCGAAAAACATTATTCCCTCAATTCTTGTAGTGGTACTGTCATTCTGCCCCACACCATAATCCAACAGAATTTCCAGACATGTGGCAATGACATTCTTGAACAGCTGGAACTCCAAGATCTCCCAATTCTCAAGGTAGACACTTATGTTCTTCCTGCCTGCGGGTGGAGCATATACCCTTGCAATGTGGCTCGTTTAACTTTTGACAGCCGTGAACTCCCATCCTCTGTTTATGTAGCAGGAGATAGGTTACAAGTTCGAAAGGTGATCCCTACACCGCAACAGTGTAGGAATTGCTGGCGATTTGGCCACCCAGCGAAGTATTGCAAATCTATATCCGAATGCCCAGTCTGTGGTGCCGCTGACCATTCCAACACGTCTTGCAGTCGACCTTAATTGTCATGAGGCTCACCCTTCGTACTCTCCCCATTGCCAAGTCTACTTAAATGAGCTGGAAATTCGTTGCCTCAAAGAGGCACTAGGTCTCCCTTATGCTATGGCAGTTTCTCATCTCCGCCTCCAAGGGAGACTACCCCGTGTTTCTTATTCTCGTGTTTCAGAACGTCCCCCCACTTCTGGGGTCCCATCTTCTGCAGCCTCCTCTGCGGTTGCCAGTCCCGTAGTCACTCCTGTATCTAATTCTCTTGCTGTCCTGGGCTCAGACGTCCCTACTTCAACACCTCAGTCTGTTCTCACTTCTTCGTGTTCTCCCTCACAAACCCCGGTATCGACAAGACCTCGTACGACACCTCCTCCCAATTGTCCCTCTGCTTCTCAGAGGTCCAAAAAATCTCCTTTAACCCCTCTTTCCCTTCATCCACCTCCACATTTTACCTTCCTGGTCTCTGTACCTGGGTCTTCCCCTTTCACTGGCTCCGTTACAAGTGTGGAGGTTCATCCTCCTCCTCGTACTGTGCCTTCCTCCCCTGTCCCCTCCCAAGTTTCTTCCTCTTCTTCCACCTCCCAGGTTTCTGCCTCTTCTGTCCCCTCTCACACTTCTCCAGTTCCCTCCACCCTTTCCCCCCCCCCTACCTTGGTACAGTCCATTACAGTTCTGATCTTTACTCAAACTCATCCTCCTTCCATCTCCAATATTGTCTCCCATACGACGTCTCTGAACTCTGAAACACTTGAAGCAATCTCTGAATATATTGCAGAGACCAAACCATCAATGGACACTGATCCACCCTCTGTTCCTTCTCTTTCCTTCACAGCGCACCGTTCCTTCGCTGCTTGAACGTTTTCCATTGCCACTGCATATGGACTTTTCTAACCACTCTAGTCTGTAGGTATCCTTACCTGCGAATTTCTAGTATCTTTATCATTGCCAATCATGGCCTATTTACAGTGAAATATACACGGCCTCAGGGGTAATTGGGGTGAGCTTCAGATGTTGCTCTCCCAGTTCTTCCCTGTTGGTGTTTGCTTACAGGAACCAGAATTACACTCTGCTGTTATCTATCCCATCTCAGGCTATAATTTATTGTATTCTTCAGATCCTTTTCCTGATGGGACCTTTAATGAGAGTGCCCTTCTACGCACTGATATTCCATACATCAGCTATTTGTTCGTACCTCGCTGCATTACACAGCAGCCCATATCCACTTGCATAGGTGGTATACACACTGTTCTTTGTATCTCTCTCCTTCTCGGGCATTATCTATCATGGATATTGCCTTTCTTGTTTCGTCATTACCACCACCACTTCTGTTACTTGGCGATTTTAATGCCCATCATTTCCTCTGGGGGCTCTCGCTGTGATTCCCCTGGCATTCAGTTAAAGGCTTTTCTTGCTTCCCACCCCCTCCATGTTTTAAATACAGGTACTCACACCCATTTTGATCCTCGGACTCATACTCTCTCTTGCATCGATCTCTCAGTCTGCTCTTCCTCCACTGCATTAGACTTCACCTGGTCTGTTCTCCCGGATTTACATGACAGCAATCATTTTCCAATCATTCTTACTTTCCCTTCAATTCACCAACCTCTTCGTAACCCACGCTGGCAATTTTATCAGGCCCAAAATTTGGGGCCTTTACTACAACTAACTGTTTTTAGTGAGATTCCTTTTTCGTCCTCCATTGATGAGCTTTTAAACCTCTTCTCCCTCCTCCGTTTTAACTGCAGCTTCTCATTCTATACCCCCAAAATTCTGCGGGCATTCTCAGAAAAAGCGTGCCTTTTGGTCTCCTGCTTGTGCTTTGCAGCACGTTTGAAACGCGCTGCGTGGGGCAGGTACCAGTACAATAGAGCCACGGAGAGACTTCTTGATTTTAAGCAGAAGCATGCGATCGCTCGCCGTGTCATCCATAACACTAAACGCACTTGCTGGCGTGATTGTCTCCACCATCACCTCTGCTTCCTCGATGAGTGCAGTCTGGAAAAAAGTACGGAAACTGAGTGGTAAATATTCTCCTGACCCGGCTCCTGTTCTGCGGGTTGCTGGTGTTGATATAGCAAACCCTCTAGATGTTGCCAATGAAATTGGCAATCATCTGGTCTGTATTTCTCTGGGGCTTCATCTGTGCCCCTCATTTAGAACATAAGAACATAAGAAAGGAGGAACACTGCAGCAGGCCTGCTGGCCCATACTAGGCAGGTCCTTTACAATTCATCCCACTAACAAACATTTAACCAACCCAATTTTCAATGCCACCCACGAAACAAGCTCCGATGTGCAAGTCCCTCTCAAATCCAACCCCTCCCACTCGTGTACTTATCCAACCTAAATTTGAAACTACCCAAAGTCCCAGCCTCAATAACCCAACTAGGTAGACTGTTCCACTCATCAACTACCCTATTTCCAAACCAATACTTTCCTATGTCCTTTCTAAATCTAAACTTATCTAATTTAAATCCATTACTGCGGGTTCTCTCTTGGAGAGATATCCTCAAGACCTTGTTAAAATCCCTTTATTAATACCTATCTTCCACT